GGGCTACCATGCCGTATGGCTTAATCTAGTGACCTACAAAAATGTGTGCCTTGGCTACCGTGCCGACTGACTTACTCTAAAAGATCTGAAAATGTGAGCCTTGGCTACCCTGCTGACCGGCTTAATCTAAGAAGCGGACGTATAGTGCAAGCTGAAGAACACGAGTTTCGCCGCAATAATTGTTTAATGGACCACGATAGTTGTTGACACTGACAATACATGGTAAAGAAGAAAACCCCCTCCTCAGTCAAAACACAGCACCTGCAATAGATTAGAAATTCAAGAGCTCATCAGTTTTGGGGCATTTAGAATGTCTTTAGCGTTAGGTCTAATGTAACGTTCGTAGGCTGATGAGGACCACCGCCCTATTTCCTTCAGAGTAGCAGAAGGCACTTTCGGAGCTGCATGTTGTCGCATCGCATGTTGTCACAGTATTCAAATGGCTGCTGTGGCGTGTTGTAGAGGCAAAGACCGCACGACGAAGAAGATAAATCAGAACAAACATTTATTAAGTCCACAGGAATCAGGTTAAATCCACAGGGGTCAGGACGAACCCACACGCAGGAAACTTTCAACCAATATACAAACAACAATAACCAGCAACCTAGACTGAAGAGACAGGAACTTATATACACAAGCAAATGAGGGACTAATGACAAGACACGGGTGAACTAACTCAAGTAATCAAAGGGAAACTGGGTCAATGGAAGTAAGACATGGAAACAGAACAAATGGAAACACAAAAGTCCATAACAGTGACAAGGGCAAACAGAAGGTCCAAACTGACAGAAACTGTGACACATGTTGCCACACCCACTGTATTATATTCATAAACATCTTTCACACATTGTACATTCATATTTTTTTATTGTTTTTGTTTTTAGACGATTATTTGAATTATTGAAAACTTTTTTACTTCTTGGTCATGTGACCTAATATTGTTACACAAGGCCAGTTCATACTCGCAAACATTCCTCATACAAAAAGATTTAAAAATATAAAATATAAACAGGTAGAACTTGATAAGTTAATCATCTTAACTAACACAATATCAATACGTATATATAGTTATATTTATATACAGCCAACTTACCTTTGTCCCACGATAGTTTTCCGCCATCCCTCCTCCACCCCAACTCCTCACTATTAAACTATTCTCATCCCATACTAGGGATTGGGGGAGTTTTTTAGCTTCAGGCAATATTCAGAGCTCAGAGCCCTCCCTCAGGACAGCACGCCAAATATGCTTACTATTTGCTCAATCCCATTATATGTAAGTGTGAACTCGTGAAATAGGAACTTTATGCAGAAAATGTAAGAACAATCATAATTTGGTTAGGGTTTTTCTTTATTTTTAGTAAGGTGGAATGTATGCAGGAACATTGGGAGAATAAAATAGGACATGATTCCAATCAGTGATGAACCTGGGTCCCCATGAGCCAACAAGCCTCAACTATCCTAAACTAGTGCATTGTCCACTGTACCATTCATTCCTACAACTATTAAATTAGCTTGCTTGTAAGGGCATTTTTTAAATTTGTCTATTAATATTTCAAAATGTAAATTAGAGTGTTCAGTGGTGTCATCAGCCTTCTTCCACTGCTCCAAGGTCCAGTTCCATTGCTTGTGAGTGCATTCTAGGGGCTTTCGGCTGAAACAGGCACTCTAATTATGGGCACTCTGACCAGTCTGCACCTACACAGCCCCATATGCATCAGGTTGCTATATGCAATGTGTGTTGTGAACATTGCTTCTTTAGGATTTGAGACTTTAGTCTTTGCAACTTTACAGATCTTCTTTATGCACCAAGAGCTTGTAACACTCCAAAGAGAAAGGAAAAATTGAAATCGCATCATACCCCTTTAAAAATTGTTGCCAAATAGAACTTCTATTGGTTTTTATGACGGTAGAATAACGTCAAAAAGATTTGCATACGAAAGGGTAAGAGTTGTGGAAGTGTACATAAGACTGTAAGCATAAATAAAATTTGCATGCGAAAGAGAAGCTTTGTAAAGGTGTAAATCGCATTTCAAGCGCAAGAAAAAAATATTTGCAGCATTTTACTGTTATTCGTAAGTGTAATTCATGTATTGTGAAACTGCAGCTTCATGCTAACGCAAAATAAATATGATCTGCATGCTTCTGACTTCCATTTTTCCGCGCTTACACTTTTGGCACTTTTTTTTTTCGCCAAAAGATGGTCAAAAGCACTGCAAGCCTGTGAACAGTGATTTGCAAGTGAAAACAGCAGTTTAAAGAACTGCAAAACGGATTGACTGCATAGAGCCAATCTGTATGTGTAAAAAAACATTACAGTAAAATGTTGCAAATATTTTTTTTCTTGCGCTTGAAACACGATTTACACCTTTACAAAGCTTCTCTTGCGCATGCAAATTTAATTTACGCTTACAGCCTTATGTACACTTCCACAAATATTACCCTGCATATGCAAATCTTTTTGACGTCATTCTACCTTCATAGTTTTTGTCCAGATGATCAATGAGACTTGGACACCCTATTTGCTATCACCAGTTTGTGGTTTGTCCCTCATCGGACCACTGTTGGTAGATTCTCACGAATGGTGACCATGAGCATCCTACGATCTTCTATGTTTCAGAGATGCTCTGACACAGTTGTCTGGATGCAACAATTTTGCCCTTGTCAATATCATTCCTGTCCATTTCCCCTGCCCTCGTCTCACGTTTTTCAAGTCAAAAATGAGTTCTGTGTGATTTAAGGTACTTGTTTAATTTGAAGTACTTGTCAAGTTGCTGTACTATACTGTATGCTGTCTGTCCTTGATGATTTTGCTTTTTTGTCAATGAACAGGTGAAAGAGAATAAATGCTCATCAGACCTAGTTGTTTTTTATGTTTATTAGGATTGATGTACTCCTTTTCCCTCAATGAATGCAGTGTTGCACATTGCCGTTGTCACTCTTTTTTGCATCCACATGGAAGTCTTAAAAAACATGAAATATATGACTTCTACATATAGATAATGTTAACAAAAGATTGGTTTCTGACATACAAATGAAAATATCTAAAACAAAAATCCTTATCCAGTAATTAAAGTCATAGAAAAAAGCAAGGATAGTACACTCGATAAAAAGTGTGGAAATTCTGCAAATATCAGGTGATCAAAGTAATATGTTTGTGGTAGCCTAATAAGTAATATTATATTAATGATAGAACAAAACCATTTAACATCGTGATTGTTTAACTAAAATGTTAATTTTCATTTAAAACATTTATTTTACTGTTTAAATCCAACTGAAATATATAGAGGCCTCAATGAGCTTCTGTTAAGCGCACTTATAAATTGGTCTTGTATCATGAAGAGGACAACCAACATGATTTAGTAATGACTTTCCTGTCCATTTTTAAGTCTGTGTGAAAATCAGTGTAGTCCATGTAATGACGTGCTTTGTTATGGTTAATGAACTTGGTTGACTGACAGAGACCTGCTTTTCAAGTCCAAATATGTAATCATGCATCTTTGTTTTGCCCATAGAAGCTGCTTTTACTTTCTGTTTTACTCATAGTGAGTGTTGTTCATCGGTCTTACATACAATTGTACATAAAGTGTGACTTTTTGTGTACTACTACAGATACTACAGATTATTACATGCAATTTCTGTAAAGCATAAAATAAACTATTATGTAAAAAAAGTTTTTATTTATATAAAGACTATTATTTATTAATTATACACAATTACCAAATAAATGCAAATCTGACTGAACTAATAATCACACTTACATTTAACTGAAAAAATGAATGTTTACTATTGTCCTCTTTTTAGAGCTGCTTTAAGCAGAATTGAATTTTGTTTGCATCACTGAAACATTATTTTCCTGTTTAACACTGTTTAAAGCTGCTTTAACACAATCTGTATTATAAAGTGCTAAATAAATAACTTGACAGGCAATGTTCAATATATTCACCCAGAAATCCACAGAGCTACAGCCTGCTATAAGCACAACAGGTATCTGCTGTTACTGTTGCTTCACTTTCCAAGAACTTCTTTAGAACTGTAGAACTGGAAATTTCACTGTACAGTCCTGAAGAAAAGTATTAGTACTGTTGTATTTACTAATACGGATTAGCTTTGGCTCTGTATACAGCCGTGCATTATGCTGTAGTGTATATGGAACAGTGGTTTGATCAAAGCATACCATTCACATCATTTAATGGAATTATAGAATTTGAAATATTTTCCTATAGAAAAAAAGACAGTTAAATTGTCATAACAGCTAACAAAACAACGCTAATTGACTACTGCCTAATATTCACGTCTTCTCTAAAATTGGCTTGTATACATGTCAAAAATCTTTATAATTAACTGGATATTCCAGTCTCTTCTGACAGACAATAGTGGCCACATTTTTCCTTCTTGAAAACATTCAAAAAAAAAACAAGTTCAAGAGCCACATTTGTATTTTAATTGTCATTCTGCAGTTCTTGAAAGAAAATGTGTTTGCAAAGAATGATTGATTGTTATGGAATGTTTAAGGAAGGGTTATATGGTAAATGGAGATTATATTTCATCATCTTTTAGAAATTATATATCATCATCTTATTGTAGTCTCAGAGGTATTTACACCTATTAAATGATTGATTGTTATGGAATGTTTAAGGAAGGGTTATATGGTAAATGGAGATTATATTTCATCATCTTTTGGAAATTATATATCATCATCTTATTGTAGTCTCAGAGGTATTTACACCTATTAAACACTTTAATTGTCAATGCTTTTCAGTGCACTGTATTTAAATTAATTAGATAACCCAGGAATTAGCTAAACATTATTTTTGGGTGGGATTTTGGAAAATTCTGAACTGTGTAATACATAACACCTGTTATAAGCCCAAAGAATCCTATTTTAATCCCTATTTTATCTATTTGAAATAGAATATGTTTGTAAAACACTGTTGTGGAGAAAGTATGGCCTTGTCAAGTTCATAGCACGAGTTTCTCATTCTTGTCCTTTATTTCTGTTTCTTGCTTGGCTTCCTCTGGAACATTCCTGCTGACAGATGGGCGGAGTGGTTATCATATGAGACTTACAGAGATCTCTGTGGGAAACAAGTCAGTTCAGACGTGAGTCACGACGTGCCTTCACAACATTGAAGAGGAGCATTAGCAAAGAAAATGGTAAGGAAATACATTATGAAATACAGTATTCTGTCCTTTATGTTGCTTAAAATAAATATGTCTTAAATGTTTTCTTCTATTTAATTAATTAGACCATTCAGTTTCATTTAAAAAAATAACAGGGTTGTGATTGTAGATATCATTTTTGTGATTAAAGGCATTTTGATTTCACATGTGATCTTTTCTTACCAAACTACTAGGCAACAACATCCTGTAATAAATGTGGGTTGATAAAAAACTACTATGGACCATTACCGTATGTATTTATTTCAGATGAGTTATGGTCTTTTAATGTGCATAGAAATATGTTTTTCACCTGTGAAGTTATGTCTAAATGCTCTAACATACTCCAAGCTCCATCAATGCATAACTTCTTACACGACTCATTTTTTTAAACTTAAGGTTTAAATGTAAGTGTGACTATGAAGAAGAGCCCACCCCTTTTTCTCTGGTAAGAATTCCAAAATAATAATCATTTTTAAATAGTTTTATTAATGTTTTGAATTTGTTTATATTTTCTGTTTATATTTTAGTACATTTGTTTTGTTTTTGTATTTTGTATGCATTTTTTTATGTATGTAGTTTTCATTAACTTTTATTTAGTTGTAGTTATTTTAGTAAATCAAGATAAACTGAATGAAAATGAGAAATGTTGCCTTGGCAAGTAACTGAAATAAAATAAGTTATATATATATATATATATATATATATATATATAAATCATCCAGGGTTATTTTAGTTAACTTTACCTGATATATATATATATATATATATACAGTATATATATATCAGTTAAAGTTAACTAAAATAACCCTGGATGAGTTTGAGCATAAAACCACTTTTAAATTTCCTTAATGTTCTCTTAGATGAGCAATGCGTTGGTTGCGTCACACAGTAACAGCAGCATTCAGAGGTCACTAAGAAACGGGGCAATGACTCGACAGCACAACGATTTGGAGCGAGGCATTCAAACATATCAACGTGTAGTCATGAAGAATGGCAAACCTGTTGAAACCGAAGAAATCAGGTTTTATTCAACTGATTAAAGGATACTTGAAAAATACAAAAGAGCAGTTTTAATGTAATTAAAATGTTGTGGGGTCTTTCTGTGCTCAAAATTAGATGATCATACTGTCTACTAACTATTTGCTTTACTGTTCTTGTATGTTGTTTTACAATACTTGTACTTTTACTTTACTTGTCAGGGTTGATAAGATATCTACTGTGTATTCTCAGTGATTTATTTTGTCAATAAAGTTGAAAGTCCATAATATGTTAACATGTTGCCATTAAAACTGAAATTGAACTTTCAGAGGAACTGTGATATAGTCTCGTCTTTCATACACCCCAAATCCAGAACAAATCACTTCGCTGTAACATTTCTCACCATCAACATCAAATCCATCCTACCTATTTTTGTGTTTTAATCTTTAAAGGAATTAGAGATGTGTGATGAATTATGGGAACAAATGGGATGACAGGTCTTTTCCGGGACTGTCTGAAACAACCCAAAATATTTATTGTTCAAACAATGAACAGAAAAAAAAAGTGTTTTCTAGTGTATTTGGTAAACACAAGAATAACATCCCTCGTGTTATTATTCTGTAACTTCCTATAAGAGCTAACAGTCTATAGGCCTACAAAACCAAATAATTCACTTTATTTTCTAGGTTTATTTACTAATCTATGGCTATGGATATGTAACCACTCTTGTGTTTCCTCATATTTTTCTCACAGTACTGCAATGGTTCCATCATACAGTAACAGCATGACTGTACCATTAAATGGGTTCATGACTCACCATAAAAACATAAAGGATGGTTTTCAAATCGAACATATAAACATGTGGAATGGCCAAACGATTGAAGCAATCGATTGGTACTCAAATTATTAATGTCTCCTAAAAAGTGTCATGGGACTCCATAATATGTTGTAGCTTAGTTGAACTTTCAGAAAAACTGCAATATAGCATCTTTATAACATTTTGTGTGTGTGTGTGTGTGTGTGTGTGTGTGTGTGTGTGTGTGTGTGTGTTAAGAAATTACAATAGAGGTGTGTGAGGAATTATGGGACCTCTGGTGGTGGAACTGAAAAACATTAATGAGCGTGCATGTTTGCGTTAATAAGAGATGTATGAGGAAATATATGGAATGAAATTAATAGAAAAAAATAGAAATAGAAAATTAATGGGGAAAAAATTGAATAAGTGGAAAATTTTTAAATTCTGATTTCCAGACTTCACAGGGGAAAAGAATTATGGAAATTAGTAATAGTTAATTAATAGTTTTACTCTTCTCTTAAATATTTCATCTGCTAGATTTAGATTTTGCTCTTGGTGAGTGTATCTGAATAGGCCCTGCAGCAATCTCTGTTGAATGATTTCCTGAAACTTTGAACCTGTAATCACTAAGAACTGGAAAAGCAAACTTCATTGGTCAAAATAGAGTGGGAATCCTGAAAGTAGGTGGCTAAAGAGAATTACTGCCATCACAAGGCATTTTGCGAACACTACTGGTGACTGATAGTTGGTGCTGTTCATCTGGTGTATTTTTTGTCTGTCTGACTGTCATGACATTGTTTTAAAGACTGGACAATTGCAGTGGTAAAAACAATTCATTAAAAATGTATATATCATTAATTCAGTCTGTTTATGAATTTGAATAGCTTGTAACACCAACTGCATTATTTTTTACACATACATTTACATAAATATAATGTCCTGATGCATGTAGAAATTGCTATTATGTTTTCATGACAGAATAGGGTGAAATTAAATGTATCACTCATTAAGTTTTATTATTGCTTTATTTAAGTCTTTTTTTATGCATGCATGCTCTTGATTGCTTTACTAATATTTTAAAATTTAGTGAAAATACAGTTTCTGAATTGTTCGGTTAAATTTTTTGAGACTTTAATGCAAAATATTTACAGTAGGTACTTTTATATATAATAATTTTTATTTGTTTTATTTTGTATTTTCTTTATTATTTTATATGTATTTTTTTTATAATGTAAAGTGCTTTGAGAAGCTCTTTTAAAGGTGCTTCTATAAAAAAATAAAGTTATTATTATTATTATTATTATTATGTCTTTAAGAAGACAATTTACAGCAGTACTAATGCTCTTTACAAAAGTTATTGACACTGATTTGAGGCTTGTCAAAGAGGATAATGAAAACAAAATCACATCAGTGAGTATGTGCAGCATGAGCTAAGTCTCAAGACATCTTTCTGTCAGGAAAAACAAGAGGGGCAACATTTTTCACACTTTTCCTGTAACTAGTGCTTGAAGTTTAACACAGATGTTAAAATGCTCTATGAATTCCTGCTGACCATTTACCTGTTTATTCGTTCAGAAATACATAATTTAGCTGGAACACTGAGGAAAGACATAAATCAATGAGGAATCAATTTAATTACTATCAAATAATTAAACAATGAATTCATTTGAATTTTTGATTGTTTCTCCAGATGGCTTTTTCAGCTGCTACTTATGCTAAAGGAAGCTTTGGAAAAGTGTATAAAGTAACCTATGGAAATACCCATGCAGCTCTTAAGAAGGTGCCTTCCACTGTTGTAACTAAACAGGAAATTCAGAAAGAGAAAAATATATATCGGTGAGTATTTGTGTATATGCTCAAAAAAAGATTTTTGCTTATTACTGATTTACAATGAACTACAGTAACAGTTCTTACACATTTTTTGTTTACAAAACTAAACTGCAATCAATCCATAAAATTAATAAACTGCTTCATCCATTTGTGTTGAGACAGACTACATGAATCAGTTTTGTTTCGTGAATCAGTACTTCTTCCCAGCATGCTTTGTATGAGACTGGATAGGCAGAATAAATGTTGTGTTTTTGTGAAAAGTGAGAAAATAGAAAAAATGAGAAAACAGGAAAAATTGTTACTATTTAATATAATGTTTTGTAAGCTATTACTGCGTTACATTGCATAAAGCCTAATAATAATTTTTAAAAAAGAAATTAGACATTTTAACCCACTGCCATTTGGGATATTTCATATTTGGCACATGTGATCTTATTGTAGGTCACTGAATCATTCCAATGTAGTGAAGCTCCTGGCTGAACCCTGGCTGGACTCTCAGGGCATGTGGAATATCCCATTGGAATTCATCTTTGGGAAAACTCTGGAAAAGCTTCTGTTCAGTTCACAATTATACATGGAGGTACTGTTAAAAATTAAATTTTAATTTATCTATTTTTATTTACTTTATGTTAAAAAATTTAACTGATAACAGATTTATCCTAAAAACATTAGTTAAAAATCAAGAATGTTTAAATTCAATAAAGAAGAAAAATAAACGTGTGTAGAAATGTGCTCCATGAACTAAAAAAGTATAGTCATAGAGAATATCAGAAAATTGTCAGTCCTGTGTTCCGTGTTTTCTGTGTTCCGTGTTGTCCCCCCCCC